AATTTAGATAACCTAATTTCTCTGCTTATACACTCAACACTTCTATGAAGAAAGAAGTTCTCGAGAGATTTTGTCTTGTACCAAGCCATTCGTTCTTACAATAACATAAGATGAATGAAAACAAATTTGGCAAACCCCTCAAATGTAGCATTTTACCACTTTTAAGCTTCACCCAACAATTCTTCTTCCAGAAGAACGAAGTGCATTGCTGATGAAATGTCTAGCCGGGAAAAAAGAGCGTGACCATAATGCTTCTTTTATTATGAAGTTCTTAGTTTCAGTCAACTGATGGCGGGCATCTGTTCTTCAAGGTTTTTCCTCTTGTTGACGATTTCTGACCAAGCACTTTTATTACCTTGTTTCCCTCAAGAGAAATGTGATTACAGTTTGTCTATCTTTAGTTAGTAAAAATGTTGACTCAAGAGGCTTGCAAGATTTTTAGAAATTAATTGAGGCTAGTCTGCACTTGCACTTAAAACCTTAGTCTTGCTCTATAAATACTCCGCCAGTTATTGTTTTCGTTAATTTTATGAACAGCGCAGCTAGGACAGCTGTCCTCGATATTCGACTATCCAGAATTAAGTTATTTTTAAATACTGCTATGTACTTCTAGCGAGCATGATCATCGATCTGAAACTTAGCAAAGTAATGCTAAAACTTCCATACATTTTGCTGTTACAGCAATTTGAGTCGAGAACCATTGCAATGTTTGAAATTTTCAAGACAACTAGTATTTTAACTCAGAGTGCAATTTACTGCGATTCTCATCAATATGGTATATCAAAGGTCCAAAGGTGCACTAGATTTAAACTTTTTTAAAAATACACTTGAAAACAAACCGCGCACGCTAATTAACCTCCTGGTGGAAACCTTCAAAACATGCTATCATATTCTACGGCCAAATATTTCAATAAAGGTCTGAAATTTTGGAAAAACAAATTTTGATGCACTTGTGGACCAACCTAATACTTGCTCCAGCTTTGCGCAACCGAAGATATTTGATCGGGTGAGCTTATAACCCTTTCGGAGTCCTACTAAAGAAGATGAACGTTTCTCCCAAGCGAACAATGGCATTTTCCTATCAATTAATTTAGGGAAATTCAGTCCTATAGATTTCAGATTCTTTATTGAGTAGGTGTAGTTCCAGCCTTGGAATGTGTAGCTTTCTTTGATAGAAAAGTAGTTTCCCTAAGCGTCTAACACTATCAACACGTCGCAATGAATTTCGAGAGTTTTTAAACTTATTTTACTCTTTCCTAGTGGTTATTCGAAATCAAAATGTTTCCAACCAAAAATCAACTTCAACTTGCTTGAAACAGCCACACTTTGCATTATGTTGACCTTAATGGCTTATTACCGTATATTGCAACTCAATCTTAGTATTTGGAAATTGCGACGAACCATATCATCACTACTTAGTAGCTTCATAAGTATATTTTCATTTTTTTTTGCAAAGAAATTTCGAAAAAATTGGGATCCTTTTTTGTGAGAAAAGAAAATCTGTAACTCAGGTGAGAAGTCACACCTGGATTTGTACCTGTGGTCAACAACGCAGATCGTTTGACCAGAGGCACGTGGGTAACATATGGCTAGAATTTTTTTGGTGAAATTAGGTTTGATTTAAGTTTACAAAGGATTTTGTTAGGTAAGCCCAAATCATATGTGATTTTTCTGCTAATATATAATGCTTTCTCGTGGTTAAAGGCAAAGTGGAAGTCCTTTAATTACGGTGTCAAACAACATCGACCCTGCTTACAACAACTGGCCTCGTCTCGTCGATTACTCAACACCTCAAGTGTTGAACTTCACCCTGTTACCTTTAATAAGGCTACCCAAAGCAAAAAAAAGTAATTGCACATATGAAAGCAAATGAAAAGAAAAGAATTGAAATTATCCAAATCTAACAAAAGGATTTTATTGACACCTTTGAAGGACATAAGTGAAGCAGCAGCAACGCTATTCGAATTTACCAAATTGATAGGGTTAGGTGAGAACTGGCTTAAGCGTTATGAATATCTTGCAATTCAAGCATGCAGCCAGAATATTTATAGATTTGT